TGGATGTCAGCTATGGAACTATGTGGACAATTGTTCATGACAGGTTGCGATATCAGAAGGTGTGTGCCGCTTGGGTTCCGAAGCAGCTCACCGACCAGCCAAAAGCACTGCAACATCTGTTTCGGTATCAGGAAGACCCAATTTTCATGGGAGCGATCTCACAGGTGATGAGACCAGGTGCCATCACACGCAGAGACAAAGCGGGACATGCATGCAACATGCTCGTCACCTCCCCCTAAAAAAGTTCGAAGCCGTGCCGTCAGCAGGCAAGGTGTTGCTCACCGTCTTTTTCGACATTCAAGGTCAGCTACTTGTGGAATTCCTCGAGCACAGAAAAACCATTAACTTCGATGTGTACTGTGAGACACTGACGCCTACGCAGGTCCATCAAGAATAAAAGACCAGGGCTGCTCCAGAGGGCGTGGTTCTGCTCCATGATAACGCACGTCCACACATCTCCAGAGTCACACACATGGACTGGCCAAGTTCAAGTGGGAGATGTTGGACCATCCGCGCTACAGTCTGGACATGTCGCTCTGCGATTTCCATGTGTTTGGTCCACTGAAGAAACACCTGAAAGCGAAGCGCTTCAACTCGGACGATGTACTCAAGGATGCTGTGAAGGACTGGGTCTCTTCATGACCACGGGAATTCTGAGAACAAGTAATCTTGCGGCTTGTTCATCAGTGGAATCGTTGTGGCTCAGGCCTATGGTGTATATTTTGAATAAAGTCTACATTTGTACCCACCGTGTCGTGTCGTACCTTTTCATTTGATCACCCCTTGTATGACGTGATTGGTTGCATGATCGTGAATGAATTTGATTGATGGGAAAATATTTGTAAGGGCTTATTTCTGCATTGTATGTCAGGAAGTACATTGCTTATTTTGTGCTGCACACCATAAAATGGCAGTATGTGATGAGATTAATCTGAAGTTTCTTTACAATTTGGAACAAAAGGTGTTAAAAGCATTAATCAACTGATGTGTAGATGAAGGTTTACTTAATAGTCATTATAAGTGTCCTATTTATACAAAGGAATGCATATGGTTGAACATAAAGATCATTCAGATGTCTTTGAATGGGTTTGTCGCAAGAAAGATTCATGCAAGAAATGCCACCGACAGTCTGGCACTATGTAGGATATTTTTAACTCTTATTTTTGTGAATTTATGAGGTGACAGCTGTATACATATTCTAATTCAGGTAATTCTAGAAAGTTTTTGGATGCTGTTAAGGAATTTTGTGTGCCACAGACTGAAGACACAGAAATTTCTAAATATGGTAAGTTGATATTTCCTTTTTATAGTGCGTATATGCTATAATGGTAAAAATATATTTACGGGTGCCTCTTGACGAAAATTTTCGATTTTTGGTGGTACATGGATACCGAGTTTGTACAATTCTTTGACTTGTTATTTTGTCTTCGCTACACAAAGACAAAATAACAAGTCAAAGAATTATACAAACTCAGTATCCATGTACACATCGACCTATTTTCACTTAAAAAAAATATCAGAGAATTGCACAAACTTGGCATTGCGTACTCCCTTTACCTTATCCATGTACACATCGACCTGTTTTCATTTAAAAATAAAAGGGGCACCCAATTCTACACTAGTGCCAAACAAAAAATATATAATCTTAATAAACTGTATTTTGAATCAAACAAAATAACATAAGAAATTACATGCAAAACTACACAAAGCAAATATCCACTTACCTTATTTAGAAATTTCTGCATCTTCAGTCTGTGTCACACAAAATTTCTTAACAGCATCCAAAAACTTTATAAAATTATCTGAACTGGAATCCGTATATCAGTGTCGCCACATAAATGAGAGAAGCAAGAACTTTAAATAACAAGTATCTCTTGTTGATTTGAAACCAATATCTCATTCTTTCTACTAGGTTAAACGATCTGTCCTGTAATCACTACTGTTTTGTATCTTGATGCAGTTTTCATGAGTAGTATTCCATAGTAACTGGTGATTTCTTTTTAGTGCTCTTTTTGAGGTTACATACCTTTGTTTCTTAAGAGTACTAGATTGATAAACAGTAACTGATTTTAATAGGCAATTTTTTATATTTTGCCAGCTAATAGAGAAATTTTATAAATAGCTTTTCAAGTTTGAACTATTTTTTTTGCAAAGTTGCTGCATGCTTTATTTAAATAATAAAATGGTCTCTTTTTATGAAGGAAAATTGAAGAAGGACCTGTCTCTTATCACCCTCAAAATTGGTAGAATTTTCTTCAAAATCTGCACCAAAATAAGGTTGCCGTTTTACCTAATTATAAAAGTATCTAACAATGCATGAAACCCACTTTTTCCCCTTTCTTTCTCTCTCCTTTTTTTGTAATTTATGCAAGGGGTTATGCTGTTATTTATGCAAGGGGTTATGCTGTTATTTATGCAAGGGTTATATTCTTTTTTATTAATTTTATGTCATTATTTGGAAACATTTGTGTATAAACTTAGGAATAAAGTATAAACTTAAGAAACTAATAAATTAAGAAAGTATAAACTTTAGAATAAAGGTATATAAACATAAGAAAAAATATTAATTCAGTTTATTAAATTATAAATTAGTAAAACTGAAATATTTAAAAAGAAATTCTGGTTTTTTATAACTTTGATTTTATTGAATCTTTTTTTATGCTAAAATCATTTGTGTTGTGTGCATGAATTAGGATTTTGAATTATTTATATATTAATAGTTGAAGTATTACGAAATGAGTTGATCACAAGAGATTTACCTGTAGAACTCCATGTTGATTTTAAACTTAAAAGTGTATAAATTCCATCGGTCCTTTTTGATAAAAATATTCAGACTCTCAAAAATACTTAAAAGGCAGTTATTTGGATGGTTCTTTAAAAAGTTACTGAAATTAATTTTTGAAGAACCATTGAAATTATCACTTTTTAAAATGGTAAATTTATACAAAAAAAAATATTAAAAAATAAAATATGCAAATTATATAGCATGTCTTGATTTTAGGCGTGTGAAAATTACCAATTTATAAATCAATTTTGTTTCTTAACCCTCTGAGCGGCAGGACTTTGAATCTGCTCATGAAGACCTGTTATTTAAACAGAATTGCTTTTCCATATTTGTATAATTATTTGTTTTAGTCTTGTTTTCAAGAACTTTCATTCATGAAGATGATATTTACATTATTAGGTAAAAAGACAAAATATTTTAAATTATAAGCTAATATATGCCAAAAAATCTCATGACCAGATAAAGGCAATCATGCCAACAGAGGGTTAATCTCATTAGAATATGATATTTTAATATCTTTAAACTTTTCTGTAATACATTTTGCTGTTGGTCGTGAGTTTGTATTCTATATTAATTTCACATTATGCATCCCAGTATAAGGAATTTTGAAACCTTAGACAGTAAAAATTTCTAGAATAATGCATTGATCAAGATTCTCTGAAATATTTTATTAAATTGTATAACAGAGATATAACCACAAGCAGTAAATTCAGCAAACCCTTCATTGTGGCATAATTTGCCATAAACCTGTATTAAATTTTGACTGGCATTTTGGGTTTTGCATGTGCAGTAATTTTCAGTCACATAATTCAGAATATAGGATTATATAAAGTTATTTGCATTACACATACGTTCAAACTTTTCATTATAGTTTTTTGTCTTAGCGTACCTGCTGTGGAATTCCTTTAACTTTTGTCTATGCTTTGTAAGTTAACCTTGCATTATGATGAAAGGTAATAGCTATAACTAGCTGTCTAGATGGCAGATATGCTGTAAATTATACTACCATAATCTTTTGCCAATTTATTTATTAATTTTTAAGTATATTTTTCTCTGCCACCTAACCAATTTTGCATAGCTTACATATGTGCAAGTATTTTTCATCTAAATATGCAGTATGTCTGTCATATTATATTATGGTACACTATTTGAACCATTTATATCGTTCATCATTACCTTTAAAACCTATAAAAGTAATAAATCAGAAATTAGTCTGCAGTTTTTGTCTACCTTAACAGCTCTTGTCTCAGATGAAAATGTTTATAATTTCCTTTTTATTTATCATAAAGTTAAAATAGAGATAAATCCAAGATTTCACACATTTTAAAGCAAAATAAAAATAGGTATTTTACTTATTCCATGAGCAGTGAAATGAAAAACTAATGATTAACTTACCAATACTTATAAGGAAATGCTGGCCTTTAAATACTTTTGTTAATTGACGTAACAGAAATGTGGAATTTTGTGAGCAAGATAGTTTTCATAAAATTTTTAATTTATGGAATTGTGTGTATGTGAATGTTGAGGAAAGATATTATGAAATAAGAAAAAAGTGTTGTACTTAGTTCTGTAACCTAAACTTGAAAATATTACGTAAGAAAAATTATATTAATTTGGAGTACCCATATCAACCCTCCAAGTGGCCTGTAGCTTGGGCCCAAACCATAAAGGTCATGACAAAATGATATATTCTTGATTGCAAGTGTAAAATGACCCTCTCACTTTGTACCTTGAATCTTTTTTGTTTGGTACGTAAACTTACGTCAGCATGATACACATTGATATATCACCTAAAAATTTTAACTGTTCATCGATGTTTAAATAGCAGCTTTAATATACTGAAATATTGCACATACATTGTTAATTGATAATCTTGTCTAGATTATCAAAATCATAAATATTATCCGTTTGTTGTGTGTGTGAGAAAATTCCATTTTCAAAAATTTAAATCTTAACTGTAGCAGGAGGAGGCTATTCCAGAGCCTTGTAGCAAAAAGTGTAAATTTGAAAAAGTGAGTGAGATGCTGGTTATCAATGGAAACTTCCATATATGAGATTCTTTACCATATGTGAAATATGGGAAGAAACAAGATTTAGCATTGCATTTTCGCTGTGCTAGAGATGTATTGATGTGTCAGTAAAGCATGGTTTTGATGAATCTGTATGTAGAATATATTTTTAAAAATCTTATTTAAATGTATTTTTCCAATTATAGAGGAATTGGTGCTTGATAAAAGCTTTGAAAGCATAGGATCATGGGAAGATGATATCCTTTCTATATTTTTTTATATTTATTGTTCACATGTATAGCTTATCAATTTGGTTGCAGTATAATTCTTACAGAATTGTTATTTAGGAATCATTAATGCGATTAAAATTATTTTGGGACCTGTAAATTTCTAATTTTAATAAAATGCATGAATTACCTAAGAGTTTTTTCTGTACTTTTTTATATTTGCATCCCTACCAAAAGCACACAGATACATATCATAGGCACTGTCCTATTCATATATGAGAAGCATTTTGCAATAAATTTGGTATAAAAAAAATAACAAAAATCTATATGGCCAATATTTAAATTTTTACAGTCAATGGATAATATTCAGCTTCAAAATATGTTTCATCTTGTCCTTGTAATATGTGCAGAAATATTACATATGTCGGAAAATATTGTTTTTCATTTTATGTGTAAAACACTTTTAGTGCACATTTTTAAAAATCTTATTCAATTGTTTTTATCTTTCAGAGACCAGTAAATATTTCACTGCTTATTAGCTTTTTCTGCATAATTTGTTTGCTTTGTAATTTCATTTGATGTAACTAAATTTGTTTACTTAGGAATTATATTGATAATGAACTAACATAATGTAACTGGAGTGAAATTTAAATAGTTTAATGTAGTTAAGCACTCATTTTATATAAATAAATCAAATTTTTATATAATGTCACTAATATGCAATTTTTGCTACCTGATTTTCTGATTTGTTTTTAATTGGTTCTTATATGATGTAAATAATCAGCCTTGGAAGTCTGAAATCTGGAAATTAAAAAGACTTGTCTGAAATCCGGAATCAACAACAATCTGGCGATTCCAGATTTTAGGTCATTAGTTTAATACTAGAATTATTCAAACAGTCATTTTGACTGCACAAGAAATTGAATTGTATGTCTGTAATTTTCTTTTTAAATTTTGTGATATTTTTGACTTCTAAGAAGAATACAAAGTATATACCAAAATGAATTTATTTTGCCTGTTTCAAATGATTATTTTTTTATGTGTTAACCCCTTAACTAACACGGAAAACGTACAAGATTCATTTCCCAGTGCCACGGTTTTTCACACAGGCACGCGTAGTTATGCGACGTATTAGGAGGAAAATAAGTGTAAGTTTTACTTTCTAAAAACTGTTTACTTTCACAAAATAAAGAATAAAAGAAAAAATAAATGCACAAAATTTAATGTTTTCAGTAAAAGTATAATAAAAAAATGTAAGTATAATAAAAAAGTTCCCTAAAATGGAGTTTCAATCAATTCATTTTTAGAACAGTAAAGTGTAATACCAGGTTTTAGTGTTATACCTTGTGAAATCAGTATGCCTAAAAAAACATATATTTCTTCTGAACTGGTTGAATGCCACGATTTTTGTTCTTGATTTTTCGTTGCAAGTGTTGGTTCATACTTGTCTAAAAAAAATTAGTTTCAGTAACAATATGAAGAACAAGCAGTTCATCAAAAAATAATTCAAAAAAGATAAAATGGGTTTGACACATCCGTTATACCTTTCTTCATTCCTGGAACCTAATACAAAAAGGAAACAAAAACGGAGGACACAGAATGAAAAAAATACGCTTTACTCAAACAACACTAGCCAATACCGCGCAGTCATTACTTTCACCGCTTCAGATACACTCCTCTCTCCAATTTCTCCCCACACTTCTCTGAAATAGTATCCTCCTTCGCATTTGTCAAGGTCATTGTGGTGTTGCATTCCAAAGCTTTGCGAATAATTTTACGGGTAGCAGCACAAAGCAAATTATAGTAGTTTGAAAGGGCATATATATACGCCCGGGGCAATTAACGCATCGGCTGAGCAAAGCGTATATTTTTATACACCCGCGGCAGTTAAGGGGTTAACTATATATATTTAGAATTATGGCTAGCAGACATTTTGAATGTTCTTTGCCCCTATATAGTAAAAGGCTAGCTTGGTTAAGTGTCTTGATGCCATTTGGTTGAATTTTCTTTTTATTTTCACGCCAGATGTTAATGGACAGTTGGTTAGAATAATGTCTGAAAAGGGTTTTATGTTTCTTATCTGTGGTTTAATAAAATCTTTGCCTTGTACTGTGTCTAACTTTCATTTGGCTTACAAATGTTCAAAACCTGTGACCACTTTTTTTATTTGTAATTATTTTTCTGTAAATCATATTGCATAGAACTATTGGATAAAAAATATCTGTCAGAAAAAGATTTGGTAAAAGTTTTACAGGAAGTATTCTATGAGAACTGTGGCTCAGTAATTAGTTCCCATGATGAATCTAATACAGGAATTTGTTCTGTTTTATTTGATGAAGATTGGATCATTCCAACTACAGCAAGTAAATCCAATTAGTCAAGTGATGGTTCTATTAATTCCTTCAAAAGGAAGCTGCACATTTAACCATCCCCCCCTGAAAAAAAGAACAAGACATTCTTTCATCATTTCCAAATTGTATCAATTCCAAAAATAAAATTGTATTAAAAAGAAGTTGTGGCTATCGTGGTTCGTGAAGCCTCGGTAGTTGCTTGCTCGTGTTGCCATCTATTAACACCAGTGAAAAGTGCTGCATTGCGTGAGCGGGCCTAAACCTGGGTCAGTTTACTACGAGTCGAATTCTTTGCCACTACCCAAAAGAGCTCCATTGTGCTAGGTTCAAGAATTCCAACTCTCAAATTTGTGAGCGTTGAGTTGTTCTCAAGATCACTGCAAGGTTTTAGCTTTGAGAGAGAATGTAGTTGAGGACAAAGAAATAAAACATGCAAATCGACAACCTTGTATTCGGCGTAGATTTTATAAAATCTATGCCAAATACAAGGTTGTCGATTTGCTTGTTTCATTTTCCACATTGGTGTATTTCTCTTGTTTCTTGAGAAGGAAATAGTCATGGTCCAAAATGATGACAAATGCTTGGAACAAAACATAGTCTAATAAGAAAGCAAAAACAAATTAGGTGTTTTGAGAATGAAGGAAATCAGTCAAAATGATGAAGAAATAGTAAGTGATAGTATAGTGTGGAGAAAGGAAATTATTTCAGTAAATTCACTTGGAAGATTTCCTGTCCAAATGATTTTGTGAGAAGCATGTGGGCCAACTACTTTTCCAAGAGAAAACTAATTGATTGTAATACAAGTGGTGCATGAAACACAAGTGCTACTTTTTAATCAGTGAAAAATTATTGCATCCTATATAGCAATGCACTGAAGCTGAGGCATGTCAGGAAATCAAAACTGATGCTTATCACTTAATGGGCTAGATGCTTTTATTGCTCTGTTGTATGATTATGGTGTTTTGTGTATGAAACAATTTTTCTTTTGAATTTATAGTCCAAACCCTGGGGTGCAAAATTCTTTAGTGAAACAATGCCTAGGGGCAGATTCTTGGAAATAATGAAAATAATTAAGCCAATTAGATCTCAAAACTTTCAAACTGATCCATGTACTCTTGCTTCAGAGAAAACCTTTGTCAAAGTTGTAAATATGGAATACCTTTATTGGGAATTGATAATTGTGTTACAAAGTGGATGAAAATGTTACAATTAATAAACAATTGTTCTTATGAAGAAAGGCAAAATGCCAATTTTTTTCAGTATATGCCCAAAATCCTGATAAAAATTTTGGTTTTTATCTGATCTAAAAACTAAATGCTTTATAAATAGATATTCTTATTTGGGAAAAGATGGAAACAGAATGTTTTGGGGGCCATGACCAAATAATAACATATTTTATTTGAAAAAACTTTAAAAATGCTAGATTCTTTCCATGAACTAAACTGCAGTCAAAATGACTGCACATTTTGTAATTAAAGGTAAACTGAAAATGCTGTAATGCTTATTGTAAAATCTAGTAAAATGGCATTTACCGTATATACCCAGGTATAAGTCGATACCGCGCATAAGTTGATCCCCCACTTCGACATAAAAAATTCGTAGAAAATAAGAAACCCGCGTATAAGTCGACCCCCCCCCCACTTCCAAAATCGATCGAGAAACTTTGAAACATTTTTTAAAAGTACTACATTTATTCAAAATCATCTGAGAAAAAGAAGTAAATATACGATAAAAAATACCTTGGTAAATAAACCAAATCAAAATCCTTCAACGTCTGATTCATGGTCAGATTCGTCAAACATTTCATAGAACTCTTTTGTCATTATTGGCTCGTCATCATACATATTTTCAGTCTCGAACTCTGGATCGTTACAATCACTACTAGAGCCTTCGTCGTCATTTTCACTTTCAAAAGCAGCATTATCATCTTCCGTGCCGTTCTAGTTCGTTGCTAATACAACATTTTTTAAATGATTTTATAATCATTTCAGAGGGTATTTTGTTCCAAGCCCACTGAGCAATTAATGTAATAACCCACTGAGCAATTAATGTAATATCGGGCTTTTTAATGTTGCCTCCCTTTGTAAATGTTGGTCGACCGGAACTAATCCACTCTGCCCAATATTTTCTAAGATTTACTTTGAATGGCTTATTGAGGCAGACATCTAGGGGTTGAATGACGGATCTCAATCCTCCCGGAATTACGGAATCTAAAATGCAGGATAATTGGGGAAAAATGATCGTATATAGTAACCTTCTCGAATTTGTTCCGGAAAAGATTCACGTACGTAAAATCTATCTGCATTTTGCCTTTTTAAAAGTTAAAAGAAATATTCAAACTGTTCAATTATTGCGTGGGCTATTTTTTAAAATTTTGACGTGTACGCCTGTTAACAAAAGTATTTCATGAATGAACAATAACTGTTATAAAGACTTATACGTACGTAAAAACTATCTGCATTTCTCTTTTCTTGGCGTGTTGGCGAAACTTTTTTATTGCTCGATATTGATCGGTTGTTTGGGGGCAAAAATTCTTTGGTTTAATCGAAACTTACTCTAGTTAAAGCATGAAACTCTGTGATTAGTTTGTCACATAATTTAAGTCATGAAATTACTTCAAGTAAGTGACTTATTTGATTAGTCGTCCAATTTGAGTGCGGGAAGAAAACAACTGCATTATATAAAGAAATTTTTGAACTTCCGATTCTTTTAATTTTTAACATTAATAAGTTGAACCCCCCACTTTGAAGTCTTTTTTTTGTCCAAAATATCTCGACTTACACGCGGGTATATACGGTATATATGTCAGCATCGTGGCTGTGCTTATTGTTTATGTGAAATAGAAGAATACTTACCCCTCCCAATCAATGCCACAGGTGGCATGACTGCACTGGACAGCAGAATTAAAGGATGGCAAAAATCTTAGGATTCAGAGAAGCACTGAGCAGCAAAAATTAGAGGTGTCAAAATGTTTAGAATTTAGGATAGATTCTGTTCAGAATTTAGAGGTGGTAAAATGTGTAGACTTCAGGGAGAAAATTTTAGGCCGAAAAATTTAGGACCCATCAATTGCATCAGGTGGCAAAATACATAGCATCCACTGTACCCTCCCCCACAAGTACTCAAAGGCTAAAAGTGTGATCCTGGCCAACATCAGTACATGGCAAGTCAGTGTATTGTTATCTGCTACAATGTGACTCTAGTTGGCTGGTGTTTGAAAGTAACCTGCAAAATCTTTGGGGAAAAAATCACATGTACGGCACAGCTTGATCTTTTTGTTTAGTATTATATTCTTTATTCCTAGATTTTGCATAGGAGGGGTATTTTTGTTATTTTATTTATTTATTTATTGGCTGGTGGTCAGAGGCCTTGATATTAAATGACTCTGGATATTGGATATCTGGATTTCGGACATTGTACTCTTATTTATTTTTAGAGAAAGTGCAAGTCTTTATCTTGTGATCACACATGTCAATTTAAATGTATTTCTGATAATGTTTGCTGTATCATTTCTTCTGATGGTAGTGAGGAATGAACTAAGTAAGTTGGCTTTTTAAATGTAATATGAAAATTTGAACTTTTCTTTCAAAATTATTTGAACTCCTTGACATCTCTCAGATTATAATAAATTTGTTTTGCCACTTATTGAGCACCAGCAGCCTTGTTATGTATTTTATAGATTAGATAGTGAAAATGAAGCTGGCTACGAATGGGTTTTCATCAGTTGGTCTCCTGACAATTCACCAGTAAGTCTTCATATTTTTCCACCTAATGTATGGGATGAAATCTAAATATAGACATGCTAAATTTTTTATTAAAATACTTTTTTTAAATTTATACTTGGTAGTTAGTAATCATAATAATAGTAGTAATAAAATTTATACTTATTAACTGAGAAACGCATTTGTAGTTCACAGTAATTAGTTAATTTTAAATACTATTGATTGAAGTACTGTGTGAGTATTTAATACTGAAATATTTGTTTTTGTGTTAAGCTGTCATTAATCGTTGCTTTAAATATGCCATGATGAAATCTTGGAAAATACAGTGGGCTCTTAAAAATTAAAATAATTTGAAATAAAACTCTTTTTCATTTCCCTTGATATAACCTCACTCTCTAATTCTACACTTAAATCTTGCTGTACATGGATTATCAATTGATTTAACCATTGCAGTCCCTTCTTCCATGGCCTGCATCGTTAAAATTCTGATGGAATAAAACATCTGGACCCACAGTCTGCAGAATTTGTTTTATCCAGTACATAATTCCATTGAACACTTGGAACAACTTCCTGAATCTTGATTTAGAACAAGAAGTAGCCAGTTGTAAGGCTTGGACAAAACCCATGCCAGTGATACCCGTGTGTAAATACTGTCAGTTGGCAGTTCTATGCCTGAAAACACTACATGTAAGAGTTTGGTTAAAAGTAGCGCAGCACATAACGCTAGTTTTGGAAGAGACTGGGATTTTAAGGAAGTAACTCTGATTTTTGCTGTTAGAAGGCTAACCTTGACTGCAGAATCAGAGTTAATTGTTCTGAGTTAGATGTCTGCAGAGTAAGCTTTTTTTGAAGCATCACAAAAAGCACGAATTTCTATAATTATTGCCTTCCAACCTAAGACTGTCAGAATTTGTAAGCTTGATAGTAAGAGTAATTTTAAATAAAAACGCTTTCAGTTTTTGCTTATTTCCTTGTTAGTGACTTCATCCCAACCAAACTGTGAACTCCTAACTCTTGTAATAATATTTTCGCACATGTTGTTGTTGGTTCTAGCCATCTCATTGGATTGCAGATTATGGCCATCTCTGATAAAATAGTTCTCTCTGTGAACTCCTTACCATTTATGCATTCTGAAAAATGCAATGTGTCACTGGAAGGTGTTCAATTAATACCCAGTAACTTCATTGCTTTATCACTGGTTATTTCCAGAGAAGTACTGGGTTCTCATAACCACTGAGTAATATTCTCTAAAATAACTGAAGTGTTCAAAATCCAGTTCCTTAAGCGGAATCCACCCATTTCCATCATGTCAGTTAACTGCTGAACTAAAACTTTTGCTTCCTTTTCACTTTGTGTTCCTGAAAAAATAATATAATCTCCATAAAAGCTGTGAACGGCAATTCGTAATGCCAAAGGGAATCTTCTTGTTCATCTAATGTAAGTTGTTTTGTTACTCTAGTTAGACAGATATGAAGCATAGGCAGTTCCATGTGTAGTTGTTACTAATCTGAATGTACTCAAGGGCTCACTAGGACTATCCCTTTATATTATTTGTTGCTAATCCATATCGTCTGGGTGAACTTGAATTTCTCTAAACATTTTCTCCGCATTGCCATATGGCGCAGCTTTGTTTAGTTCTGAACTGTAGAACTAGAAATAGCTTTTGCTGAACTCTTGGCCAAAAAGTCATTTAATGAAAGTCTCAACGTTTTAGCTGAACCACCAAAAACGACTTTCAGCCTAGTAGTTCATTCAACATGGCATGATGGGGCATGTAATAGCAGAATCAGTAAAAATCTCTCTGAGGCACTGTTTTCATGTGTCTCAGCTCAAGGTATTCTCTCATGAAGTTCTAATATTGTTCATATATATAAGGCCTTTCTAAAAGTGAATTCTCTGAAGACTTGGATCTACGCTTAGCTAATTATCTCAAATCTCCAACCTGAGAAGGCAAAGAATGAAAGTATAAATTCACTATACATATACCACTTTCCTCTCTTGTAAGTGTAGATCTGAAGTAATCCTCACGTTCTGTCTCCAATTTAGTAAGCATATAATGTAGGTGCAGCATCTAATTAGCAAAAATTGGAGAGAATCTGCTTCGCCTCCACTTATATATTATTCACATACTAGATAGTGAGTTTAATCTCTGTTGAAGTATTCACATTACCCGGGAAAAAATCCATTCTAGGTTAGAACCAGAGGCAACTGGTATAACTTCTCCGCATTTAATCGGTTCCCCTTTCAGAAGTGCTGAAGAGATATGTACACCTAAACGTATATCAAAGGTTCACTCTTGTACAGTGTTGGATCTGCCAGCTTTAAATCATTATATTCTTTGATATACTTCTTATCCAATATAAAATGCAATAATATTCCAGCCAGTATTAATAATAAATAATGGTATTGTAAATAGCAGATTTGCTGAAAAATGCAGGACAAACTTATTTGTGCAATTGCACTAGTCTCTGTATCTGATGATCCTAAACACAAAACAAAAATCTTCACTTTTCTTCTCGATAACCCTAATCTCTTTATATGCTCTTCTGCAATGAAACTCACTTGGTTGCTGATATCAAGCAATGCTCTTCACAATTGGTGTTCGCCAGATGAATCTAACACTATAATAACAGCCAAACACAATAAAAACTTCATGCTGACGATTAATTTCTGATGCACAAGATTTAATTACTGGACTTGAACTCGGGGAAATTCTTCCCTAATTGAGTACTAGATTTCATTCCAAAGAAAAATGGCTTAGCTGTCACTGATAACTCGTTTGAATCATCTCTAACCCTTTTACGTGTTTCTGGCTCATTTTGAACTCTTGAAATGCAGTGATGATTTTTAAAGAACTTTTTACATTTATATATACTTCTGCACTCCAAAGCTTTGTGGTTTGAAAATAAGCAGTTAAAATGTAGATTGTTTTTTTTTGACAAAATTAAGACACTTCTGAACATTCAAATTTAAAAATTTATTTCATTTCAATACTGAATGACTGGCTTTGCAATATGCACACTATGTGTGAATCGCTAAAGCCAGTGAGGTTAATTTCTCTTTCACATTTTTTGTTTTTTAACCCTTTCAAGATGGTACATCTTTCTTTAAGACATTCTCTTAGTAGAATGGATGGGAATTGAAAGGAATCTTCCCACAGGACAAAGGTTTTGCATTGTTAAGTCTCATTTTAGGGAGGGGGAAACTACATACAAAAACGTTTATGTCCTAATAATAATTTTTGGTACTGTTTTAGGTTATTATTTAAGCTATCATATATGTTAAAATTAGTGTTAATAATCTTTTACTTTATATGAAAATATATAAAAAAAATTCTTACTTTGAGAAAGAATTATCAGAATTGTTGTTCAAATTATTTCGAAGTTTTAATTGGTAAAATAAAATAATGAACTTAAAATTAATAAAAAAAAATACAAGCAAAACTATTTACAAGAAGTAGCTGAATTTTTTACATGAACTGTAAAGCAGACACACAGTGAACAGCTTTCTGTTTAGTAAATGAATCATCACTCGCATTTATGTCACTAGTTGGCTGATTTACCATATGAGTATATCCTTTGTCTGATAAGTAACACATGCTCATCATAATAAACTGAAGTAAAAGCTATCCGAAATAAAAAGGGGGTACATGAAATATAAGTGATAAAAAGCAATGCACTCTTAAAACTATATTTCACTTCAAAAGTAATGGACACACAACACCATCTAGGGGTGTTTAAAATGTTTCTAGACATTGATGCAAATGTGTAATAGCTGAGCGTGAGCAAGAAAACACTTTGGCATGCCAGCATGGTGGCCAGGAAATGAGTGCATTTCTTGCTCATTTCTTGTATGTGTGACAGTCGGCACGAAAGGGTTACCACTTTTTTCTTTTCTTGCTTGCAGAGTTTTAGCTTGAGATTTTAATAGTTCTAACAGGCCATTAAGGATTGGTATTTGCTCTTGCTTTAAAGTTCTTTGACACCATCCTCTCGTAGAACAATCTAATTTAAAATGTACTATTAACATCATAATAGTATTCGCGAATTGTTCTTCTTTGCAACCCAATGTCTTAAATGACAATACACATTCTCTCACAGTAATCACGAATGCAAATAGTACTTGATGGCTGTAGCTCAATACTCGACGGATCACAAAATACTGTATATTCCATTGTTGATGTTTAGTGGACTGTGTTCTGTTGACTTGCTGTCGTACACTTCCAGTAGAGCTTAAAGAAATCACAGATTTGTAATCTTGGCTGAACTGAAGCTGAAGAACAGTGACTCGCTTGTTTATTTTCTTAAAACATCATGCAGACTAAAAAACAGTGACTCACCAAACATGTCAAACACTCAGATTTTACCTTACTTTGTCAATGCACACTTCAAAGGAACATTAACATCATTGGAACTCCAGTAACTACCAATTGAAGCTCCAAGTGCATGCTTAACCCTGTAAGCAGCAAGCATTAAATATTTTTTGTGATATCTGCAAGAATGTATATATACATGCATATTAAAATATGTCAAAGAAATTAAGGCAATATATCAAAAGTACACAAATCCAGGTAAGCAATACCAGGAGAGTTTTTACATTAAAAATAAAAAATAACAATTTGTTTGGGAATTTGTGTTTTCTTAAGGAAAATCCTGGCTGCTCAGAAGGTTAAAACCCTAACTAATTTGCCTTTGCACTGCTGCTCAGCTCAGTGTTTAAAATTGCAATTTGGATGACATCAAAGGACTATGATTATTTTTTGTCTTGAACTCGATTTTAAAATTTGTGCATGGAGGATTTTCCTGTAATAGAAGAAAGAGAGGTGAAATTTCTGCAGCAATTGCAAAACCACTAAAGAAACAATACTTCAAAATCTTTCTCAAAGCAATTGCTACAAAATTTTCACCACAGCAAAAACAAAAACCTGTTTGTAACTAGGTTTATTGATAGCTTTTTGAAAAAAATATATAGTTGTGGAATATAAATGTGATAATATGTGTGTATGTAATGTATAATTTTTTACAATAAAAGTAATTGTTCTTTTTTTCCCATAAAATTCGCCAAACTGCACCAAAACAGTTTCAATAATGCATAAGTATTGAAAGGGCTTCAGAACGAGTTCTGGAATAGATGGTGAGGTAAAATCAAGATTTGATTGCAGTACTGAGATTAAGTTTCAGAATGCCTTTGAAAGCAGTAATAGAGTGATAATTGATAATTATCAGCAAAAGGATGGGTATTCATCAGAAGGCAGCTGAAAAACATAAACAGCATTAACACAATCAGCATTATATTGTAACTTGGTAAACATTGCAGCATTAAGCAGAAGTAGAAACATTTTCTGAGGTGCTCAATCATGATTTAGCCAACACTATTTGACATGTAGTGAAGGTAGACGAGTTTAAATAATGCCCAATAAATATTCCTAATTGTTGTAAGTATGTTTCTGGGAAATTTGGCTGAGGTGGTATGATTTTGTTCTTTTATGGTATCGTTTTTGAGGTATTTAGATCTGGTTATGGAATCTTAATGGATTAACACTTGCAGATTTTATTGTACATGTGTAAACCATCAAATTTATTAATAGTTTATCTGCTCCAAACTAAAGGCACTATGGAAGAATTGCATTCTCATGAAACTGGAAACCTTGTGGCAAAAATACCTGCCCATCTTCATTCTGGAAGAGCCACATGGATGTCAGCTGTCTTTCTAACTAATCAGAATTGAGATACTGTTGAGTAAGCATTTGTGTTGAATTACTCTCTTATTTACTTTGGCTAATTAAGGGAGCAAATGTGTATCAAATTTTTATTTGGACATTTGTCTGCAAAAATTATTTAATTAACAAGGTTTTCAAGAAGATGCCGTAAGTGAAGCCTAGGCAAAATTCTATGTCTCCAGTAATATAAGAATGGTTTGATGCAAACTCTGTATGCCAATAAACCGTATTCACCTACCAAGATTTGTTGAAGAATGCTTTAATTATAATAACTGTTGAAAAACTTGCATCCTTTATGTACAGCTTTGATTTCATTGCTAGTGAGCTCTGTAGATAAATTAGAATGAAGGTTGTAAGCATGTTCACTGAATGCTCAGAATTGATGGCCATCTTAACAAATACATTTGTACAAAACAAAAAATTTGTTTCTGCGTTTATGCAAGAACATTCTGACCTTTTGTGAAAGCTAACTAAAATGAAATTATATCTTGGAATAATATTTATCATGCAAATTTTAATGATTTTTTTTTCATAAAGTATTTGCCCTCTTTCAATTCATGAAAACTGTTTTTGTGGCATTCATTTAATTTAGCAGATTTTATTATTCTGTGTAAACAAATTAATTCATTGTTTATTTGTTCAAAATAACTAAAGCCACTATGGAGGAACTGCATTCCTATGAAACTCGAAACCTTGTGGGGAAAAATATATAACCATCTTCATTTGAAAGGAGCTCTATAGACATGAGCTGTCTTGCTGAGTAATCAGAATTGAGGTACTCTGTTGAGTAAACATTTCTATTGATTTAATCTCATATTCACTGTGACTAATTAAGATAGCAATGTATATTAAATTTTTATTTGAACTTGGATATTTGTCTGTAAAAAATTATTTAACTAACAAGGTTTTCAAAAAGATGCAGTAAGTGAAAAGTTCAGATAAAGCTGTATCCTCTCAATACACAGTTAACTAAAGTATTCGTTGTGTCACTGTAGAATAGATTATTTAATACAGGTGAAGTGCACATGAAGGCTATCTGTCTAAGCTCCATCATAGTTTTGACTGAAGAGCCCCAAATATAGAATCCATATCCCCTTTTCCTACCACCAGCCTGTTGGTAAAATTTCCAATGTGCTGGATTTGAAGAGCCTTGTGCCACAGAGATTGTAGAACCACAAATGCCCTTGCCTTACCTGGGATTGAAACCCAGACCCTGGCCTGAAAACCAGTCGACCTTTGCTAACCACCATATGCTCTGGGTGGTCATTCACTGTGGGTGCAACAGTAATACAATATTAGCTTGCTTAACTACTTTGCTCATCTCAATAATTAGCCATAAGGCTGTGTATCTGTTCCCATATATGCAGTAAAGCTGAAGCCTTTATTTTGCCAAATTAAAACCAAGACTGTATTTTGGTATGGCCCAGGTTTGGATGCCAGAGAAGGCATGTATAATGTCTATGTGGTGGTGATGGAAGCATACTCCAGCAAAATTGGGATCAAACTACACAGATAGTATAGTAAAATTGGACCTGTGAGAGCATTTGGTAAATTTCTGATATCCTGTGCACTTCTTCCAATTGTGTTCCGTATTACAGCTTTCTGAGGTATTCAAAGTGGCTAGATACTTAAGTTCTTATGAAGGAAGTAGAATTAAGCACCATTAATTATTTTTGCTGCTGAGGAGAATTCAGACATAACATTTCCTTTTAGATGGAAATAATCTATGACCCAGTGTCTGGATGATCTTGACCAGATAGCATATGCGCATGAATAATTTTTTAAAAAAAATTTGTATATATTATAGGTAAGGCAGAAGATGTTATATGCTTCAACAAAGGCTACATTAAAGAAAGAGTTTGGTAGTGGACAAATTAAAGATGAATTGTTTGGTACGCAACGAGTACGTATTTATTTTCCACTAACAAATATATCTAGAGATTTATTATTTGATTGAAATATTTCTGAGTACTTTCTGATCGTCCGCACTCCCATCAAAAAGTTGGGAACTCATTAGTCAGTTTGAGAGCAAACTTGTTGATACCTAGGTTTCCAATTAATAGTTTTTGCCTACATTGTGGAGTGCAACATAACATTTTTGGCAATATAGTGCTTTGCTTCAAAAATACTTTTTCTTAACTTTTCAGTGGAATGCGGATAGTCAGTAAATGCCTATTTCTGTCGTGAGAATTCAGCTTGATTATTTTATTATGCTAATAATTGTTCCTTTATTGTAACTTTGTTTGCAGGGAAGTTGACATTTTGCATTTTTATGCAAAAAGTTTGCTTTGTGGTTTCAAAAATAATATATATTGGATTGAGAGTGGAAATTTTTATTTCTTATAATTGTATCTTTTGTAACTATTTTTTTAAAAATAATAACATAAACAAAATATGATCTGCTTATTTTAGTATTCCCAGTACAAGAGAAAGAAATTACTCGAATTTCATTGAAGTTAACAAATTTCTCTAAATTAAAGGGACAGTTGAAAATGTGATTAAAAAATGATCACGTGAAAAATGTTGGTAATGTTTAGAGAAAAAGTGACTATTTTGAGTTTTTAAATGACATGAATTACTCTCTAATTGTTACTATGCTCATTCTGTTATGAGAAACTTCTTTCATTTAAAATTTAGCATGTATAAAATTATTGCCTTAAAAATGTATCACATTATAGTGGATAGAGTCCTTTAATATGCAATCTTGTACTTCATACAGCAATTTAGACCCAAAGTAATGTTCATGTTCCCTACTGATAATTCAGTAGGTAGTAATGATCATTATTTCATTAAAATGAGTATAGGTTCTCCAGCGGTATAGGTTTGCTATTTGAGGGCTTTAATGTGTACCTTCCTAGGATGTTCACATGAGCTAATATGAATTAATGTCTAGAAATTCTGCTGCTCGCTCCCATGCACATAGAATTCTTCTCCTGTAGGTATTTCTCCACTAATGAGCTCATGCAGCCAAGTATGGATTTCCTAGACTCAACTGCCCACCGTCTTAGATGTGATGCTGACTACTGACTTATTTATGTTCTACAAACTGAGAATGGCAATGAAAGGATGATGTATCATAAGTATGGAAGACATCAAGAAAACTGTGACTACCAAATTTAACAATATTCCTGCAAATGATTTCAAAAACGGTTTTGAACATTCATGGAAGAGCCATCTAAGTCATGCATTGAGAAGGGGTTATTTTGACTACTCAGTATCATAATTTACTGTTAGTGCCTCTAACTTTCCTGCTGCCAGCCTCAGTCCTTGAACTTCATTGTCAAATGTGTGTTGATAAGCTATGATATGAAAATTATCATTTAAAATTATTGAGCCATTTTGTTTAAGAATACTTAAATTTTGAAAAGTTAAATTTATTAAATTAATGATGCAATTATTGAAAAAGATATATAAATTTTTTTCCAAGTTCTGCAATAAAAACCTAGAAGATCTGTGGAATAAACCTTGAATTTATTTTTGTGGATAGTCCAGTAACCATATTTCAATAATTCTACCAAACTTTTGTATTTTTTAACTGAGACGATTTTTTCATGTAATTAATGGCAGATTTTTTACTTTTCTGTTAACAGAGCACCACTTAATGCAAAACAGAAACGTTAGCTCAAAATCTAACTAGATGGCAGCAGCTTTAAAGATATGTAAAGTTCCTTGAAGAAAAAATGAATTACTAATAACTGTAATGTATCATATAATATAAATAATGACATATTTGCAAAATTCTCTTCGCATGCACAATGATCTGTTTTTGTCTTTTAAAATAGAGAATGCACAAATTTGTCATTGCATACAGCCTTGTCATTATGTATGTTAATCATTGCAGAGCTATTCATGACATGATATAAACAGGCTACCACATTTGGCAACTGATGTCCATTAACAAAAAAAGCACAACTTGTTACCTCAGTCTGATTAGAAATATTTTAAACTTAAATCATACTGTAAATAAAGATCATCAACTTCAGTGTGATGATATTTAATTAGAATGTTTTTCATAGATGTAAGTTATTTTGATTTTTAGTTGCTGAATGAAAATTGTCATTTATAATAATAATTGAGATATTTTTATTATGAAGGAAGATGTTAATCTGAGAGGTTATAAGAAACATATAGAAAGTGAAAAATCTCCCCTTCCATTTAGTTCATCCGAGGAGGTTTTGAATCAAATTCGAAAGGAAGAAGTAAGTTCCATTTACTGAGCAATTTATAAATGTGTATATTGGAATGTATAAATTTACTTCCGTTTTTCCATAATTTGAATTTTCTTCATCAATATTAAATTTGAGTGTAACAGAAGTATCAAACTACCTTATATATATATATCACTTTTAGGCTGCAGGAGTTGATTCCAAACATCAGACTATGCAAGGTGTTGCATTTCCTGTGTCAGATGATGTTATCAATGCTTTATGTGATATGAAAGATACTCGTTTAAATTATGTGCAGATGGTAAGTCTAAGACTTCATGTTTTGATTCCTTATGGTGAGTAGCTTCTGTATGTGTACTGAATTAAATTAATTCCAAATCTTGCAATCCTTCTCGAGATTCATATTTTGCATTTTTTTGTATCTGATTATGTTCAGAATTTACAAATGTAACTTTTCAAGGGCTTTTGTATATTATTATATGTGCTGTTCTTCTGCTGTAAATTATTACCAGATGTGCATAAAAAGCCAAATAATGTAGCACATAGGAAAAATCTGCTAAGAGTCAATATTTTATGCTAAAATTTCTTCTGCTGTAAATATATTAACAGTTGTGCATAAAAAGCCAAATAATATAGAATATAAGAAAAATCTGACAATAATCAATATTTTATGCATAGTTCTGGATTACTGCAATTTATGTTTGCATAGGTTAACTTCACTTAATGAATTACAATTAAATATCTGATGACCTTGATTATAAAATATTTCTTTCATACTGTCATTAATGTTAATGGTAGTTTTATCTTTATTTGATCTTTTATCAGACCTGTCTGTAATTTGTGTCTATAAAATTAAGCAGTCAATAGAAATAAGAATCTATCATATCTGAAGAGTGTTTCTTTTTCCGGGGGGGGGGGGGCGTAATAGACTTTAAGCTAGTCACCATTTCACCTTTTTTCCTACAAGGAACTATGACTTAGTGTATGAGTGTGATCAATAATTATGGTGGCCAATTATGAATTTGTTTTTATATTGATCTTTTAATGTTCTATGTCGTGTATGAAAACGTGAGAAGACGTATGTTATACTTATTGTAAAAATAAAGGAAGGCACTTTGTTTTAAAATTGTATGAAAAATAGTCAGTTTTATCCAAACTCATATCAAATGCTAATGACAGCTACTGGTGATTATTATTACCCCTTATATTACAGATTTAAAGTTGTGAAATTTTCATTTTGTTCATTTGTATAAAATACATATTTTTAAATTTTCTGTTTTTATCATTTTCCTTATTTTTATGTTAGCCGACAGATCTTAATTTTCTGTTCTATCATTTTCCTTATTTTTATGTTAGCTGACAGATGTGTCTATGTTTAAACTACACTTGATTATGCTCATGTGGAAAAAAATAAAAGCTTCTTCAAGTTAGAAAATTTTCTGGATATGATAACCACTGTCTTCTGAGAAGAACTTATGACTTTTGATGCCGTGAAAGACAAATTATGTTGAGTAAATTTTAACTAATATTGAAAATATTTGACTTCAGGGCTTAAACTGCTAATGAATTAGTCTGGTCTTTTTTGCTGATGAGTGTTCATCACGAGACTACAGGAGAAAATGTAATTTGCTATTTAGGAATCCGAATAAAGATACTGCAGTATCTCTAACTTAAAAGTTATGGAAGCATTCATGCATCAGAATTTTATTCGGAGCTGTGTTGTACAAAAAGCTTAATCTTCTTTAGTGCAGGGAAATGTGTATTTTCAATAACACTGTAAACCCAGTTGCCAAGCAATAGATCTTCTATTTTCATCCATGTTTGCTTTTTTTAAATGCATCTTTATGGGAAAGATGTTCATTATTCACTTTCATGACAATCTTCAGTGTGCAAAAGCTTCTAATATAACAGGATTCAAGCTGCAATGAGAAATAATCTGATATAGAAAAGCATGAGTATTTTAAATATTAGTTTTAATACATAACTTTATATAAATGAATCAAAGAATATAACGTTTACCTGTTATGTTAGATAAAATGTCTTTCATCTCTAAGCTGAAATGGTCAGTTTTTATCTGGGATCTTCTTATCATCATTTTAAGTTTCTACTGGAACAGTCCACAATTATATGTATTGAATGTTATGATGCATGACAGAATACTTGAAATATATTCTTTAATTACCATCATTAGCATAAATATTTTTGAGAGAATATAGTTTGCATATTTTCTTTGAGTCTATAGCAATCAAATAAATATTTTATGGTGCTAAAAATTACATGTATAACAAACTTTCTTCTTAATCACTAAACCTAAACTAAAATTTCAAAATTTTACAGAGTATTGATATGGAAAAAGAAGAAATAAATTTAGAAACCAGCCAAGAATTAGATGTGGATTCTTTAGCAAAAATGGTTCCATCTGATCATGCCAGATATCATTTGTTTTGCCTACCTCATTTTTATGAAGGCGATCAATTAAACAGCATAGGTATTTTTTATTTTGGTGTTATTTAATATTTAATACAATAATGCATTCATTGCTAGTTTTGATATTTATTATGTTACGTTGTATACAGCTTGAGCAAATAATTCATATACTGTTATATTTATTTGAACCAAAAAGTAATAACACCCACATAGCCTAATGAAGACACATATTTCTCTGTTAGTGTTTATTTTTTTATAGGTGTTCCATAATATTGATATTTTATTTTTAGGTGTGTTATGCTGTGTTGTGTAATCTGTAAGTTCTACACAGAATGAATATGTGTAGTGATAATGTATATAATGCACACATTATTAGTGTGTAATTTCTTAATTAAATTATGCTTGCATTTTTTGCATGTAAGAGAGTCCAAATTTATACAATATCTTCTAATAGATAAACACCATTCTGAACTTGAAAAGCTTTTTACCTTGCAATTTTCCTTGCATTTCATATAGAATTTGCATTGTTGAATCCAGAGAAGACATTTATATATCACTCACCAAACAGAGAAACAAGGTCATTCCCTAATTTTCAGGTAAAATTTCACCATCACTCACTAATTTTCAGAGAAATGAGAAACTAGACTCGCTTGTTGCAGAAAATGCTTAGAATTCACATTCAATTTATACATACAGTGAGATAAGTGTTTTATGTGAAATAAATTTTTCTCTTGACTGTTAAAGTTATACTTTTAATGTTAAAGGCAGCAGTTTTAGTATGTAAGGGTTTTCCATTCCTTAACCATTCCATAAAAAAAAGTATAGTTGATGCTGTATTAAGCTGAAACTGAAAAGTGAAAGCATTTCAAGTAGTCAAAAATTCCATTTAGAAAGCAAAGTTAAATGTTAATTTTGAATCCTTGGTTTTAACATTCAATTTAAGTTACTGGATGTTTTGGCTTAGCAAAGTTTCACCATATTTCATGAAGTTTGCTTTTAATCATATATAAGAACCATAATGTTTAGATCAGTCCCTGTGATAACACTCTTAGACTTTAATGCATACTCCTAAGTAAAGCGTTAATGTGTCATTAGTCTGTTTAATGTTTCGAGTGTAAGCTGCAAGTATAGATGTAAGTTCATTTATTTTAGAAAATGAAATTGCCTTTAAAGCTATTTTAGATGAGTCTAAGAGGGTCTCCAGTTTTCTAATTATATGACAGCAGTGTAGTGATTACTGCCCCAAATTGTTATAAACTGCCCAAAACTGGTAATCTTGCATCAAAATACTGATACAAAACTGCTGTAAATGGAGAATTTTAGGAAAATTCCTCTCAACTTTTTTGCTTTTATATTTGTTGTACATAACATTCATGCCAAATCGTGTACCTATGGTCAGTTACAAAATTTCATCTCCGATCGTGTGCTTTTCCAAACCAACATTAACATGCACTATAAAATTACAACCCTATGCATTCTTCATCTGTATCTTTCTTCCTCTCCCTTTTTTTATGTTGAACAATGTTTTTCTGTGTTTAAATGTAGAATAGTAGATTGTTTAAGATAGTTGTTCTCCTTTTAGCTAATAAATGTCATAATATATGTGGAAGTAGCTGTTGGCAACTACATCTTTATGTTTACGCATCTAATATGTGAGTGAGAGTGTAAGCATAATCTTGTAGTTTAACTATACATGGTGATTCTAAATTGCTTTTACAAATTAAAAGGGTGATAACACTTATCCAGATGAGCAGTAATTATCATAGAACATACAGGTTGCATTCCACTCTGAGAAGCAGAAAAGAGGAATATTATAACTCCAACTTGAACTTACAACAGTGTTGGGAAAGTGAATGAATGAGACCAAAAGTTGCATAATCAGTTTAGTGAAAAACTCACAGAGATGCACAAAAAAGATAAAACTGAAAACTTGGCATTCAAGTGTTAATTTAAAGCCCAGACTTTGATGGCAAACACTTAAATGCACATCTTTGGTTCGCAAGGTCTCAACTTGCAACATTGCAACAAGTTAATTATCTAATGAAGGGGTGATTATTATCAATTAATTCCAACTTCCACTGTATGCCGAGATTAGAATGAATGCTGTGTTCTGGCTGGAACACATGCTGTGTTCTGGCTGTCAGAACTTCGTGTGTCCCATAGAAGATGAGTGTCCCATAGAAGGGCTCTTTAGTAGGATGAGCACAGTGCAGTAAGTCCAGGAAAACAGGTTAGAAGATGGTGAAGGGGGGGAAACTGCTACTTTGATTGTATCAAACCTGCCTTGTGTTGGAGTTAATTGATAAAATTCAGCCCTTGATTAGTTAATTAACTTGCTGCAATCTGTTGTGAGGTTGAGACCTTGCAAACCAAAGATGTGCATTTGAGTGATTGCAATCAAAGTCTGAGCTCAAATTAACACTCGAATGCCAAGTTTTCAGTTTGATCCATTTTGTGCACTCTGTGAGTTTTTCACTAAACGGTACAACTTTTGGTCTCATTCATTTGGTTTTTCAACACTGTTGTAAGTTCAGGTTGGAATTCTAATATTCCTCTTTTCTGCCTCCTAGAGTGGAATGCGACCCTATATTCTATGGTAATTATTGCTCATCTGGATGAGTACTATCACCCCTCTTAATTTGTAAAAACAATTTAGAATCACCCTGTATTTCACTTATGGTTTAGGGGCAACAGGTCGAATTTTTTTCCCGTTCGTTCAAAAAATTTTAGAATAATGTTTGTTGTTCTTTGGTTGTGTGACTAATGCTTATTGAGAGCAAGGGAGTTTTTTTAATAGTAATTTTTTAGATACATCATCAAGAAATTATACTACTGAAATATTAGACACTTGTTTAGTGAATATATGATATGAAAGTTTTGAGAAATACATATTTGTCGGAGGAGATGTAAATGATCCCCGTTCGTGATTGTCTTCAAATGAAGGTTTGTGTATTTTTGTGAAGAAAAAATTTCTTCTGATTAGATATGTTTAAACTGGACCAGACTGTAACATTAATCTGAATGTGATCTACAATTCTTGCAATAATTGATCTATCTATCTATCTATCTATATATAGTATATAAAGTTTATATATATATGTGTGTGTATGTTGCTGCCAAGCTAGTGTAGTGGTTAGTGACTAACTGTCATAGCGATGGTCCTGGGTTCGAATCCCAGTGAAGGCATCGTTGTATCACTCCATCCCTTCATAGGATCCAATGGTGACCACCTCTTAGGTGCTTACATAAAGAAATGGCCACCACTTCCACCCCTAGTAGTGGTGCAATGCTTATGGCTATTAAATAAAGTACTTGGCCATTATTAAAAAAAACCCATGTGTGTGAGAGAGATAGTAAATAAAGATAATTTTGTGCTTATGTTTTTAAACTTTACATTTATTCAGATTTCAGTCTAATTTTTTAGTTCAAGATTCTAACTTAATTCATATCTGAATTCTCATTTATATTTTGTATATTTCTGCGCTTTAGTGTTATCTAATAACTAGTTTTATACTTCATATGTATAAATTTATGAATGCATATATTTCTTTTGCTTTCATATTTTTTTCTTTTTAGTTTTCATTTATTCTGTTCCTGGTTATAATTGTTCTGTGAAAGAAAGAATGCTTTATTCAAGTTGCAAAGCGCCTTTACTCAATGTGATTGAAAACAAGATAGGAATAGAACTTGCAAAAAAGGTAAGTTGTATATTTTTTTGTTTTTTTTTGTTGGTTTAATTATAGCAAGGCATGAGAGGGAATTTTGCCAAAGTAGGGACCTATTAAGAGAAACTGCCTTGTATTCTCTTTATACATTGGAAAATATGTGCAATATACTCATGTTGCAAGCAAATCTAGTAACTGAGAATAGAACTTAGAAAGAATGGTTCTAGTGTTCTGCACTTGGCCACTGATAGGTGTATTATTTTTATAAAGGAGTCTCAGTTTGAGTAAAAACGTGATATTTACAAGTGATGACACAGCTGAAAATGTGTAAATTATTGCTCTTCCAGGTGTTTTGCCAGCCTGCATTGCATATGGTGATGTCAAATCTAAAAATGGAAAGTTTTATAAAATGACAGGATTTGGTCTTTGGCTCTAACATACATAAAAATACTTCATGCATGACTGCATTTTCTAGCCTTTATAAAAAAGAAGAAAAAATTCTGTCATTTTTTATGCATTATGCTTAACTGCAAAAAAGCCATATTTTGAGTGCAATTAATAGCAATATTTTATTATATGAGTAATGTCTTTTACCGGCACACAGGAAAGAGTGAAGGCTCAATGTATACTGTTTGATTTATTTTGAAATTTGAAAATTTTCATTTAGCAATGAATGCAAGTTTGACTAAATTTTTCAGGACATGTTTAGCTGTAATTTTTCAGTTTTACATGTTAATATGTACTAGAAATCTAAAAAACGAGGGACTAGCTATGGTAATCTCTTATGCATTTATAGATTTTAATTGGAAAAAGATAATTTTTAGCTGACAGTTTTATTATTAAAAGCAGTATTTGAGTTTTGGGCAAGTACTCTTTTAATTTTTAATAAGTTAGATAATGAATTTTTTTACAATATAGAAATTGCAAAAGGTGTTTAACATAAAAACAGGGTATATCAAATTTTCCTGAATATTTCATTTACATGTCTAAATTTTTTTTCATATTTTGCAGATTGAAATTGACGATGCAGAAGAATTGACAGAAGAATTTCTCTTAGATGAAATTCATCCAAAGCAAAACATATATAAACAGAAGTTTTCAAAACCAAAAGGTCCTTTAAACCGTGGTGCTAGGAGGCTTGTAAAAGTTCAGAATGAAGGAGAATAATTTTTTATTGTACAGTAGTCAGTTATTTAAGTAAATATACGTGGTTTCATGGTCCAGGTTCCAGGACGCTCATTTTATATGCATATTTATAATGTAAGTTGTATGTTTTTATGGAATGATCAGAAATTGTTTTGTAATTTTGGCAATTGAAAAATTCTTTCTAATGCAGTTATGTGATTGTCAGCTGAAAAACAATGCTCATCATAATAAATTATTTGTGAACTTTTCATTTGCTTTGTGAATCATTTTTTGCAAAAGTTAAAAGGAAACTCGGTAATTTTAGATCTTTTTCATAATGACGTATTGGAAAGTATATTAACATGAACAATAAAAAAAGGAATTGTGAATTTTTAATGTATCAAGTATTAGAGAATATTGTACTGTACTTGCAGTAGAAAGCTAAAGAACTGAACTGATTGTTTCATGGATCTTTAAAAGTGGCAGGTTTTATGAAACCTGGGAGGGACCATTAGAAACTGATATTACATGTATGGATATTTACTTATTTTAAAAGAAAAACTAGGACTACATATCCCATCCTAAATATTCTTAATATCTGAAAGTGAGGAAACCAGTGAATAGTAGTAGATTCAGTTCAATGGGCTAGAGTTATGGCTTCAAAGTACATTTTTAGCCTTTTCCAATAAATTTTCAAATATTCATTAGTAAATGGAAATTTATTAAATATGTAAATTGTAATCAAATGACTATGAGACAGGAAAAAAGTAAGCAAACTGTTTATTACTTCAAAAGTAATTGCCATAACTGTTGATACATTTATCCCACTGTGAGACAGATGGTCAGTGACATCAAGGAAAATTGTTTTCAGGTTTCCCTACAGAACCTTGATTGTATCCAGGCATGCATCTCTTTGTCCGAAGCAAATTAATGGCCACGAATGTTTTTTAGGCCTCCAAAAATATCAAAATTACAAGGAGAGAGATGTGGACCTGTATGGAGAATGTATAAGTGCTTCTCAGCAAATCTTCTGTAGTATAGCCTTAATAACCATGTCAGTATTATCCTGCAACAAAATGATGCCATCCATTAACATTCCTGGGTGTTTGTACTTAATGGCGCACTTCAGTTTTTACAAAGTTTCCGTGTACAGCTGTGCATTGATTGTGGGTCTGTGTTCTAGAAAGTCAATGAGCAGTGGACCCTTGCCTTCAAAGAAAATGTTCAGTATGACTTTCCCGGAGCTCCCGTGCACAGATTTGGATTTTTACGGTGGGGTTGAACCCATATGCTTTCATTGTTGGCTCTAATGCTTGCTCAAAATGATGACACCTTGTTTCATCTCTTGTGATAATACGGTACAGGAAAGGATGTTCTTCATTGGGAAACAGTTCCTAATGCTGCAGTGATGTCAACATGCTGTTCAACTTCTCCTTCTCTGTCAGGTTGTATTGAACCCGCTATGCACAGATTTTCTGGAATTTTAGATGCTCAGTCAAGATGGCATGAGCAGAGCTATAACTAAGCCCAACATGAGCTGAATGTCTTTCACCATGCACTATCGGTACTTTTTAATGGCAGCAGTCACCACAGCAATGATGGAAGGATTAATGACATGATGAGCCTGTCCTGGTTGGCTGCTGTCTTTCAATGGCACCCGACCTTCTGGATGTCATTTATTCCATTCAAACACATGCACACATGACATACTGTTGTCGTCATGCACAGCAGATATTTGAGTGGGAATTTCATTTCCTGACACTCCTTTTGCCATCAAAAAGTGTACTACAGCATGCTCTCTCTCTTTCCCAGCCTCCATAATGATGATGAATGCACACACGACTTGCTGATTTCATTTGAACACATCTTAACAGATAAATGATACAGTGGTGAGCATTTACACTGTTCCTTCTTAATTCCCAATAGAGGGTGCTTCTATACACAAACCTACCCACATTACCACATTCCTTGCCATGCTTGTTATATAAGTCTGCCTCTTTTTCATTTGGCTGCTCGTAAATTTTTATTTGTGATGTGCTATAACATTGACTTCTGTACTATAAAGCTAAATTCTTGAAGCATCTGTTCAATTGAATCCTTAGGAGGCAATGCAACCTGTTAGCTGCTTACGAAATCTCCTGTGATTCACTTCCCACTGCCACTATTTATCGCATAAGTGTATAGTGAAGCGCCGCATTTGGGGAAATACAGGGGCAAGGTTTATTATTGAAAAATTATTGCATTGAAAATATCAAAAATAAAAAACTAAAATACTGAGTATGGTAAAAAAGTAAGAGTGCTTAGTTTTTGTATGATATATCCTGGATTATGGTGGAAGACATAATCCAGCATCACATTCAGCACATTGACAGCAGGGTCCACAGTGAATTGTTTTATAAGAGCACACTAAGCATTTCTTCACTGCATTTTTCTTTGAAGAAATTGATAGTAAGTTTGGAAAATGCCTAGCAGTAAGTCAGTGTAACGTTTGTCTTGTGGTGGGTTGTAGAATGGTATTGTGAAATTCCTTAAAAATGCATTCAATCAAATTTACATGAAAATCTTAATTGTTGATGTTTTGAAGTTGTTTCTTTTGTAAAATAAGACATTTAAAATAGCTGTGTCTATAAGATGGTAAAAAATTGTTATATTGTAGTAGTCTTTTTGTTGGATGACAAACTAAAGCCTGATTAACTTTGTCAAGTTTTAATTGATAACCACAGCTGCCTTACAACTTTCTTATCAGTTTACAGTTTGAACTAAGCAAAAAAGTGACGCATTCCTGGGTGTTTGGATGCCATCTCACTATAGTAATTTTGCCACATTGGAAAGCAACAATTGCACATTTCTTCAAAGTAATTTTATTGAAGCTTTCTGGCAGATTATGCTGATTAGAGTAAAGAGTTCCATATACACCAGTTATATTTTGGATAAGAATGCTAATTCCAGTGACATATAAATATTGTGAGCAATCACACAGTACTTTTTTCCTAAAAAAATTTCACAAGCATCACCAATGATTTTGTTGCAAGTCCATAATTCTCAATTTTATTTGAAATTTTGTTCTCTTTTGCATATACACGATCATTTTGCAAATACATCCTGATTCTTCTTTAGCAAGTATAAACAGTTTTACTCCAAAGCGAGCTCTTTTCAAACATATATATTGTACCCATGATAGTGTGCTTTTGCATTTCAAAGCTATTTGCATAGTTATACAGCTGGCAACAAATTACAGAACAATGTATTGGGTATCAACATATTGGCAGGGACACTTAGCTCTTTGAGTGCACATAGCATATACATATTCTATAAAATATATGGCCATGGTAGTTAAAGGGCTAAATTTGTTCAAGCAACTTGTGCTGTTCTTGATGTTTATGAAACTTGTGCAAATCTAACGATCAGTTTCTTAAATGATTTGCATGTGTTGCCAAAATTGAAGCAGTATGGGCTATATGCTCATAAATTTTCTATAAATCTGATGTTTTGTATTAATTTCTTGGGTGATCTGTATTTGCAGCTATGATTTCTGTCATATTATTCCACCTCAGATAAAAATTACCAATCTCAAAGTAACAAAAATAATCAGTTAAAAACTAAAACTAATATTAACACTTTTGAGTGAAATAGATGTTGGATAGATGAATAATGTAATGTTTTGCAATGTAGATTTTCTAATAAAGATAAAAATCTATTTCAAAGAAATTGCACTTTTAAATTTTATTTGCAAGTACTGGAAATATTTTATTTAAAGTTTCCCATCTTGTAGAATCTTGTTTATTGTCATTGTTTGACACTTGCATCTTTCATTAAAAACTGGGATGAGAAATGGAATGCAGAGTTTTCTGACTTATTTTTTTTTAAAGACATTGAAAAATCAGAACCATCAATACAAAATATTTCTCTTACTGGGGGCAATGATTTACTTCCTTAAATGGAATGGCTGTAGCAACACTTATAGAAAGTACAGCTTGTTTTCTCAGTTCATAGCTTTTTTTGGGGGGGAGGCAAAGATTATTACAAAAAGTTATGTAGATTTTTCAATAACATAATTGGTCATTTTAAAAATTGTTATAAAAATCAGGAAAGGTTATTAAATGTTACTGTACACCCCCAAATACTGTGTTGTTATTTAATATTTTTAAAGCTGTGGAGAAACTGAATTTTCCTGAATTTTGCATAGTAGCCAATTATGATAATTTTGCCTAATGGAATGACATTTCCTAGCTTTAATTCTGTTGGCTAAGCATATGATATTGATGGTGATTTTTGCAATGGTAGCCGATTATTACAATTCTGTCTTGTAGAATGACATTTCCTTGCTTTGGTTCATTGGCTAAGCAATCGGACATTGATGAAAATTGACATTGATGATCATTGAAAGGAAGATATCAGAGACAAATAAATTTGTTACAATTGCTCTTAGTGATGGATGTGTTATAATAAAAGAAAATATGTTGGAAGTTGTAAAATTCAATTATACTTGCACATGCTGAAGTCACATTAATGGGGGCCATCTGACAATATCTCAAATAACTACCATGTGCAACTTATATAGCAGCTAGGCATGATGGAAAGTGTTCACAGGGATATGGAACCGTGCTCACTATATAGTGTAGTTGATAGTGCTGGAGGTGAGGTGTTGTAGCAGCCATAGAGAGAACAATCTGATGGATTCATTCCCGTAGACTCTGGATTGGGTTTAAATCTGGAGAATTTGGCGGGCCAGGGAAGTATATTATAAAGTTCTTCCATTCACTGACTTAAGTTTCTAGCTGTGTGACACGTCACATTGTCAGGCTGGAAGAGGCCATCATTCCCAGAAAAAAAATTTTGTATTCACAGTCTGGAATTTGCTTAATTTTATTCATAATTGACAACGATGAGCAGGCCCAGAGAATGCCAATAAAATATTTGCCAAACTTAATGTTATATCTGCTAACATGTGTTCATCTACAGATGGTTGAGGATTGTGTGTTCTTGTAGTTATGTGTTATTGTCAATCTGTCCGAAAAATTGAAACACGTAATTCATCAGAGAAGGCAACCTTTTGTTAATCAACTGATGTGTACTATTGGTTCTGCTGTGCAAATTCCAGCCTTTTCCATTGATGAGCAGTCGTTAGCATAGGGTGCTGTCAAAATTCGTCTGCTGCAAAGCATCATATCGTGCAAGGTTAACTAAACTGTTGTTTTGGACACGATTGCAGTAGCCCACCTGGTACAGTAAATTGTCCTACTCTAAGCCTTTGAATTAAACGTAACACAC